TAAAAAATGCAAAGGAAAGAGGATCAGTCTACCTGATTTGAAACTGTATTTTGCAGCTTGTTGTTTGGTTTGGATGAAAGAGTGGGTGATGCTGAGAAATCAAAGTCTCTTGGAGTTAGAAGGACACGACCTGAGATTTGGGTGGCATGGATATTTCTGCTATGATAAAGTCAAGTTAATCTGGATTTCAAAAATCATTATGTTAGATGCGCTATATTGAGAATATGGAATAGATACAAACCCAGGCTGTGGCCAAAAATACCTTTGTGGCTGAAATAGAATTATGTACAAATGATGAATATGTAGTTACTAAGATGTATAAACTTCTGGAACAATGGGAAAATATGTGGTTGAAAGGATTGAAATTATAACCTTAAAGAGAATTTTCATAGAATTATGTCTAGAGTGTCTAAAGGTACTTCATATTTATGTTGGAAATTTGAACAAAGAGGGACATTTTATCATGCTTGGTAGATGTGTAATGCTAGAAAATTCTGGATTGAAATACGTATGCTGATTCAGAGGATTTTAATGATTAATGTACAATTGAGACCAGAGGTCTTTCTTTTGAAATTGATGGACAAACAGCTGGAAAAAAGTCATGGAATTCTGTTTTTGTATATGATAACTGCAGTGAGATTATTGTATGCACAAAGATGGAAAGATTCAGCATTACCTACAATGGAGGAATGGTTGGTAAAGATGATGGAACTTGCTGAGGTGGCTAAATTGACTTCCTTGATCAGAGAAAAGACAATATCTATGTTTATGGCTGACTGGAAACCTCTTATGGACTTTTTGCATAAAACAGAAAAAAAAATGAACTTATGATTTGTGGTTTTGATGATTAGACGGGATAGATTATAGAAAGAAGGGAGTCATGTTTTAACCTTAGAGTAACAGATTAATTTATAATTGTACTTACAATTGCTGCAAAAATCAAAAACCCTTCTTTGTACTTTTTTTTTTCGATTTTTTACTTTTTGTTTCCTTTCTTGCACTTTTAGCTTTCTGATTTCTTTCTTTTTCTTCTTCTTGCTTTATATTAGTTTGTATTAGTTTTTGTCTTTCTTTTTAAAACTTTTAATAAAACTTTATACACATACATATGCATATATGATACACACAAACACACACACACTTTTAGGTGTGTGTATGTATGTATGTATGTATATATGTATGTAAACACCTAAAAGTAGCAAGCTAGAGACTGAACTATCTGTTTCAAGATACCATATGGTATTTGTTAGTAGTGAATAACAACCTATGGCTGAAAATGTCTGTTGTTCATGCAGGAACAAGACATTTCATGCAAAAACTGGAACAAACGATGCTGGTCGGTCCAACTGCCATCAAGCTGTCAGTTCAAAATAAAAAGGTTATCAGCTAAGCATGCAAAATGAGTGTCTGACAATGAAGCAGAATGAATGCTTTGCTTCAAGTTAAATAAATCTAAGAGCTAAAGCTTGAGATACAACAAAAACAACTCAAGCATATCAAAACAAATTTTACATTTAAGTTCTGTATCAATGTGCAGTCATGTAATACTATTGACTTACACTAAAAAGTTGGGATAAAGGAAGTTAATTGTTTTTTACATGTATCCAGATATCATTTGCGATCCTTACAAAGATATGGATTTTGCAATTTACCTTGTAATCTTTAAAACAACCACAGACAATATCTTTATGTGTGTAATTATGTTTTGTATGTATATCTGAATGTCTCCTGGACCAAATTCTTTCCCCCTCTCAAGAAGTTGAATACATTTATCTTTATTTCACTGTTTACCACATTCTCAAATCAAAGAGATAGGGAATCTTTCTGAAGTTGAATCATATGGTAGCACTGGTAAAACAGTATGCATGCCCTTTAAAATGTTAGCACTGGGTTAGAAGGAAAAGGCTATAGAGATACCTTGAATTTCCATCTTATCTGTGTGGATTTTAGAAAATTAAATTAGTCATCTTTAGTTTGCTTACTGCGTACTAAGTAAGGCATCCATAATCCATGAACTCATGAATAATTACAGAAAACTGACTCTCAATTTAACACTAAGAAGAACCACATTTCTGCAGAACGTTCCTACTTTTTCATACACTCTACTGCAATATTTTAAACAAATCATAATAGGATTCATCCCACTAGCATGACCATTCATTTACCACTGTCCTTAGAATCATACAATTGGAAAGGGCTTTGATTGTTTTTTAGTCCAACCCCCACCCCCCACCCTGCACAGAAACCCTTGAAGGGCATTATTTTGATACAC